TTTAAAATAAGAAAGTTATTAACGTTTCAAGTTGGCCTAATTTGCCCTGGGGTTTCTCAGGTAATTTGTTAAAAAAATGTTAAAAAATTGACTTGGAAAAATGTTTTAAGATTCCAAAAATTCCACCCTCATATACGCAAACCTAAAAACGTAAAAGTTATAGGCTATTTTTAATGCGCATTTGTCAAATTTTAATGAAAAAAATTAATAACGGGTCATTCCACGTTACTCGGGGATTTTTGTCCCGCCCGTCACAATTAAAAATTGTGAGTAAAAACTACACGTTATAAAATTTATTTAAAAATATTGTTTTATTATGCTTTTAATAAGTTATAAGCACAATAAAAATAATATTATAAAATATTAATTTTATAACTTGTGGTTTTTACTCACAATTTTTAATTGTGACGGGCGGGACAAAAATTACCGAGTAACGTGGAATGCCCCTAACCTAAAAACTATTCACTTTAGGTAAGGATATGTTAAAGTAATTTTACTCAGAATTTTCTGCAGAATTTATAAATGTAAAAATATATTGGGAGTTCTATTTTAAATAACAAAGTTGATGTCACTTCCGGTTAAACCGAAAGTTTTATTTTGTTAAAAATATTTTAGAAAAATAGACTTTATTGGGTTATATGGGCTTTATTTTAAATCCGCTTTAAAAATTTCAAATCGATATCTTTTTCCGTTTCCCAGAAACTTCTAATGTACCTACTACGAATGTAAAACACCCTGTATACTATATTTCCTAATTTTGATGATGCTAAACAATATACTGTGTAATATTAATGTAAACTATTATGTTTGATGTAAATTTACATCAAACATAATAGTTTACATTAATAATAATAATTAATTAATTAACTTGGTGTGTTTTTAGTCAAAATTATTTATTAGTTATGCTCTACGGGTTTATGTTTTCAATTAATAACTTTCGAAGACTAGAAAATGAAAAAAAATCTTAGCTATTATTTTATTTTATAATGCTCTTTCAGTGCATATTTTGCCATTTTCTAAGATAACATACTTGATTATGTTCCTGTTTCTTCATTTATAAATACCTGTGTACAGTATTTAGGTTGTCGAAAAATTGATATTTACTTACAAAAGGTCTAGTTATTTTATTTTTTATTTTATTTAATTACAAAGAATATTATTTTATTTTTTGATTATAATCATAATAAAATTATTGATTATTGATTTCCTGAACGTCTTTTTAAATATTTATTTTACTTTATTTGGGTTAATATTATTGCGGCCACTGAATGTTTCCTAAATAGACGAACAACGAAACTTCCCAAACCTAATTAAAGTTAACTTGGCCAGAAAACTTAACATAAACTTTTTTGATGAGGCCAATTCAGATCGTTGACATATTTAAATAATGTATTAATTGCTTATTGATTATTTTGTCACGACAAAATATGATGAATATTCGATTAAACTTAAATTATAAAAATTACCTTTACTGGTAACTAATTTACTTTTGATGTTGATGGAGACGTGACATTCTATAAAACTTTTTTATTTTGTTCCAGTGCAATTGCATTTTCTCTTATTTCTATATTAAGTTCGGCTTTGGAAAGCATGACCCTAAATCTTATTATATTAGTGTTTCTAAGAATTAAGTAGGCATAGCTTCACACGGAATGTTTATGACGGGTATAAAATAGTATATTATTATACAAGAGATAATGCGCATTATCTGGATTGTTATACCATGCATTTTCTACTTTAATAAAGTAATTTTCATTAATAATAACAAAGAATCTATTTCAAAAAGCACAATTTTCCCATCTATAGATGCTTTTTGAAATAGATTCTTTTGGCTAGTTTTCTTTTCCCAACCAACGTTGCAGAATTCCAAAATTTCCAATAACCAAGAAGTTAGGTTCTTAACTTTACTTTTTCAAAACTCCTTTAATTATCGAGCTATTTTTTTACTCCCTTAAAGGTCACCTTAAACGTCCTGGAGAGCTTTTCCCCCGGTTTAGATAGACCCTGTAGTATAATACATCACAATGATAAATAAGAAAATCAATAAGAAATTGATTTGGATATATTTTTGAATATATCCATTGATTTTGCTATAATAAAGATCCATTAAAACTATGACAAAATTTATATTTGTAATTTTAAGCTCCGTATCGAAGGTAAAAGTGCAAAGAGTGCTTATAAGTACTATAGTGCTTTGATGCAACTTTAAAATCTGTATCCGTCTTTTTAGGCATCATATAATCTAGGTGGAAAAACTGTATGACAGGTGCTGCACCTGTCAGCAGTTTTTTCGAGTTTACACGCGGCAAAACTTGACAGCTGTTGTCACCAAAAATTGCAATTTAAATTTTAATTGTTAAATGTTACTCATGAAATAGTCTTGTCAAATACCATTCGGGCATCTAATTTTTCCTGTGAAAAAAATCGAAAAAGCACAATGCTAAGTAATATTTTTTAACAAAATGCATTCGCGCAGGTGCAAAAATCCTCGTCTTCGACTCGGATTATTGTTGCCACCAGCACTCATGCTTCTTGTTAAAATATTAGCAACTTGTTTTTTCGATTTTTTTTGGAAAAAAATAGATGCCCTTATGATATTACTTACGAAAATCGCCGAGCTCATAAAAACACGTCTAACCTTAGCGGCTGTTACAGACCAAGTAAACAATGAAAACATCTAAAATTTCTCAGGTGTATGTATACCAACATAATAAAGACAACTGTATGACAACCGGACTCTCCAAACCCGCGAAATTTAAAAATTCCCGTTATTTTCTGAACACACCTCGTATACTAATGATTTATATTTTTCCATATATTCTAATCTGCATTGAATATATTTAGAGTTTTTTTGATTTATACGTACTTTTAATCAATCAAATGATCGCACCGAGTCTAGAAATAATACATAATATTTTTAGAAAAGCAGATTACACTTAAAAGAGAAGAACTGATCACAAAACATGTATTAACTGCCACTCTAACAACCATCCAGAAATTGCTTATGGAATTAGGATTTAAGTACAAAAAAGACAAAAACAGAAGAGCATATGCATCAATATTGATGGAACTCACTGATATTGCTGTAATGAGAATCAACTTTTTCAGAAAATACATGCAAAATAGACATTCTGATTATCCAGAGAGCTGGTGTTTTTAGATGAAACTTGGACATTTGCTAAAGGAAGCCATACAAGCAAGACTCGTCCAAAAAAAGTACGCAAACCAGAAGGTTATGATGGCAAACGTTTCATTGAGTTGCATGCTGGTAATGAAAAAGGTTTTATTCGCGATGCCGCATTGGTTTACTCCACGAGGTTCAAACTGGCGGATTATCATTGTGTCATGAATATGAAAGAAATCTTTTTAAAATGGTTGCAAGAACAATTCATCCCAAATTTACAGAAACCTTCTCTAATTATAATGGACAACGCGTCTTACCATAGCTTCTTAATGGAAAAACAACCAACGGTCTCGTGGACTAAAAACAAAATTAAGGAATGGTTGGAAGAAACCATTTAATAATTATATCTTCAAAGTAGAACTTTTAAATTTAGCCAAGAAACATAAAAAACCAATACTGCTGAATGAATTGCTACAAGAAAATGGACATAAAGTTTTAAGATTGCCTCCGTACCATTGTCAATTTAACGCAATTGAAATATTATGGGCCGATGCAAAGGATTATTATAACAAACATATTGGTGAAGATGGCTAAGGCAGTGATAAAGTCCTTACTATCTGGGAACTGACAAAAAGTTACTCCAGAATCATGGAAGTCAAAAATAGCACGCATTGAAAAAATTATAGAGGAATGGTATAATAAAGAAAGAATCTTGGAGGATGATAATGGTCATGAAATGATAATCCACATTGGTAACGTCAAAAACGATGAATCGGAAGATGATAGCGATTAAGATATCTTATATATAAATATTAACAAATTAATAGATGAAAATATATGCTTTTAAGGCAGTTGAGAGCATTTATCATTAAATTATTAATAAAACAATTATTTTTTCAAAGTATATCGCATTTTATCATTAAACAAAAATTAGATGTCTTATTTTTGTCTCCATTTGAGCTTATTGATGTGTGCAATGTTCACAACTAAATGATTATATAAAATAATATCTTAACCATTGTGCATTATACAAATATTAATATTTCCAAATTAATTAACATACATATTTTGAAAACTTGCAAAGTATAGGAATTTTTAGTAGTAGAATACGCTGAATTTTCTCCACGCGGTACGGGTAACGCAAAGTACCTATATAATTTAAAATAAAATTAATTTAATATATATTAATTACAAAGTTTCATTTAATAATATAATTACATAACAGTTACTGTTCCAATAAATTTGCACGTTTAAATGAAAGATGTAAGTTAAAACGAATCATAATATGCCCAGCCAACAAAGTCAAGGTAGTGCTACTAGTAGCAGAGGGTAGCGGTACCCTCTGCTACTAGTAGCACTACCTTGACTTTGTTGGCTGGGTGGCTTAAGCGAGGCAATATACGATTATCATATTTTGATTCGCAACCTAAAGCACAAACTTGTATAAGGGACTGCATACGTATACAACATTTCGAACCCAAAATAAAACTCCACGATACGCCACTGATTTGGCCCTCGATTTGATTGAATCAAATTGATTCAGTTGCTTTACATTGTTGCCGTAGGGCTCATGACTTAAAAAGTCAACTATACCCAATCAATTGCCTGAATATACATTTCCAAAGGTTCAAAGTCCGAATCCGACCTTGGAGGTTTTTAAGAAATTCTAACCCCAAATTACATAAAATAATATTTCTCAAAAAACTCATGTCATTTAAAAGTACCAGTATTCTTCTTTAAAATCCTGTTTAAAGTTTACCAAGATGTTTACTTCTCTCCGAAAAATCGTTAGTTGAAATTTCTGATAGAAACAATAAATCACTATTGCAGCTCAATTTTCTTTAACTTACAAATTTAAAACTGTATACCTACTAACCTGTATTTGGTGTAATATTAAAATACTCCTTAAACGGCACCGTTGATGGAATGTAATAGAATATTTTCCTGGGGTTTCCCCTGTCGCCGTCTTCAGCATGCACTTTAAGGACCACTTCTCCGGGAACAAGGGACGGATTAAGGACTGTTATTGGGGGTGCAATTGTGAACACAGGCGGTGTATCTTGTTCGTCCAAAACAGCCACCAATAGTGGCCATCCTGCTATGTTTCTTGTATCGTGTTGCATGTCAGTCCAAGGGTCCTAAAAATGTGTGTGTGCAAATGAATTTTACCAGTTGGTACTACTAGAAATTAAAGCTAAGATTTGTTGGCCTAGCAAACTGTCAAAAACAACATAGTCAACGTCAACGTATTAATTTTTTGATAATTTTTTTTTTATTTTAGGGTTAACTTTAAAATAGTATTTAATTTTACGTATGTGGTATTAAAATGTGGTAGGTACAGGTTTAGTGTTGTCATATTTTTTTATTATGTTGCGACTCACCCCTGTAAAATCTTTATTTATTGTGTGATTTTAATCGGATTTGTTTTAAAGTGGAAGTGAATTTTTGGAACAAAAAACGCTATGTTAGTACAAAATACAAGGCCTACTATGTCAGTTTTTAAGAGTAAATTTTTAAGAATTCATATTAGCGATTTTTTTTTAAATTTACTCTTAAACTGACCTAGTAGGCCTTGTATTTTGTACAAATATGGCGTTTTTTATTTAAAAATACAGTTTATCAAGATCTACCCTTTAAAAAAATCCGGTTAAAATCGCACAATAAATAAAAATTTTACAGGGGTGAGTCTCAAACAAATGGGTCACACTGTATATTCAAAACATAATAATAATAATAATTGAAATAAGTTTTAAATTCTTAAAAATAAAATGCATGGTGAGTAAATGCAGTAATATAACCTAACCTAACTTATCAATCAACGCTTACCCATTAAAAAGTACTGACCGAAAAAAATGTATTTTTATTTAAATAAAGCTATTGTGTAGTATGGTGTTAGTCAGGGCCGTTCTTGGCGAGCATGCAGTGCGTGCAGGCACGCAGGCGCAACATTTTTGGGCGCAAAATAAAAGCGTCAATCAGTACTTTGTAACGAATTTTCTTGCAATTAAACATTTACTTAAAAATACATATGATAAAGGTTACCGTCTTTCTTTGCGTATTATATTTAAATATAAAAGGGGCGCACCAAAGAATGCTGCACCTAGGCGCCAGACACCCCAGGAACGGGCCTGGTGTTAGTGCTTCATTTTTGAGACACCTTGTATATATATTACCCTAAATGTCATTTTTTTAATTTGGTAGATTGAACCTGAACTTTAAGGAATTTTAAATAAAAAGTCAATGAAAAAGTATAAAGCAGTAAGTTTATCTACTTTTGATTGGTTTTAACTTACAAATAAATATTTAATAATTGTAAAAAAAAACATCCTCAAGAGTAAAAAATTAATTATGATATCCGAACCTTTATTTGTTTTTTATCAGGTAATTATTAGAGGTTGGTAATCATTTAAAAAGTTTATAGTAGTAAATAATTTTGTTTTGTGGTAACTATTTTAAATATAAAAATTATATTATTTTTTTATTTGTAACTAAATTGGTAACTAAATAATGAATTAAATTTAATAATAGATCAAATTAATTTAATTTAATATTGTTCTGCTATTTAAAAATAGATTAAAATTGATTCAAACTTACGTTAGCTAAAATTGTTAAATGATGAACAGTTTTTGTTTCATAGTCTAAAGGACTTAAAAGCAGAATGGTCCCCTCAGCGTCCCTGTCAGTAATAAGTTTCTGCCTAAACCCAAACTCCTTCGATCCCCATAACTCTAATAGCACAGCCTTCATTCTCTTGGGGTTCCCTTTCGCTAACACCGTCCCTAGGTCCGTATTCCTTTTGGCGCCTTCGGAAATCATTAACAGAGTCGGGGCGCCAGGAAAAATTTTCTCAATGGGCGTAGTGGCGTTTGTTGCACGAAACGAACAATTTAAATTAGCACTTTCACCCTTCGGACTGCGAACTTCCACCATGAAATCGTAGAAACGGCCTGCGTCCAGTCTTTTTTTCACTATGACATTTGCCTGGCACACCGAGTTGAAACGTGAGCAATGCAGACTTTTAACTTCGACGTGGTTTGTGTCTCCGAGGAGGGTAAAAACCAGGGGGTAGTCGAAGGTGGTGTCCGATGCTCTCAGTCTATAGATGACGGTCCCCAATCCGGCGTCTGCAGGGACCAGTACCTCCCTGAGGAGGGCCGATGGGTCGAAACGCGGGAACGCTGCTACTAGGATGGGGCCGCACAGTAAAGTTAACCAGCGCATCGCCGACTGGGCCCACAACAGTTTGCTGCCTCTTGCACGCCACCCTGCACAAACGGACAATCAATTTGTTGTACAAGAAAATAAATTAGTTTGTTTGTCTGGTGAAAAGTTTACTTACATGTAAATACTTTATGTATTAGATTAGTCACTTGGAACTCTTTATGGTTTTATGAAATATTTTATCTACATATTCCCAAGCAACAATTTAAGTATTTGTTACGTATATGGGACTATTGAAGAAACTTAAAAGTGTTTTGCGATAGTCGCCGGTCTCTTTATATTACTCTTTTATTACTAAGTTACGACTAAAGTAGGGAACAATTATTGAGTTCTAAAAAGGTAACAAATATGTCACTAGCTATAAACCCTGTTAGTATTTGGAACGTAGCTGATACTTTACTAGAACGTTCCAATATCGTTGCTAGAGCGTTATAATTACTTTAATTTATTTGTTTTTACTTCTAGATTAACTGTCTTTGTCAAACTTATAATAGATTATAATATCCCTCCTTTTTTAAATGGAACCACTACGGACTTGGCTTTTCAATGTCGTCGTTTATTAAATATGTACTGGAATAACAATTATGATGTTTAATTAGGCAGGTAAATTTATAAACTCTTTAAATTTTACTGTTGAACTTATGAATTTAGTTTTTGTAAAATAAATGCGCTTCATCAATATTTAAGTATAAACAAATTATTTATCTAATAATGTTTATAAATAAAAAAATATTAATATTTATTATTATTTAATTATTAACCGTCTATAACCAACAAAATTACTATTTATTAAAAAGTAAACAACCATTTACAACCAATTAAATTAATTTATTATTTACATTACCACGTGGTACTTTACAGTAAAAAATGGCCACTTTACGGTTGTTTTGGTTAGTCTACCATAAACGTTCCAAATACTAAAATAATAAATTTTAAGTTATTAACTTTGTAGTTTTTAACTCATGTCCCAGTTTGGAGATTTTAACTTGCAAAGGGACTTCAAAGTAAACATAATTATAATGTAATCTTTAGGTAGCAACCGAAAGTAAATGCTACAAATTAAATTTACTTGAAAGTTTTTTTACTCATAACACCTTTTTTAAAGTTGCAAAGTCTTCTTGGGGGCAACCAAGTTTTACTTAAATGTTTATTAATATTGTTTTTTAAAAGTTAGAATTACTTTTAAGTAAAAATTAAAGTAGCTGTTTAGTATACTTAACTAATTTAAAGCTATCACCACTTTGGCAAAGGTTTTTGGAACCAAAAATGCTGCTTCGGTTATTTCTGGTTTTAGATGCAGAACTGGACTAGCTGATGTAGAAAGTTATTTTAACTAACAATTTTTGCTCAAGTAACCTAAATTAGGGGCTGTCCATTTATAATGTAAGGGTAAAGGGGGAGGTAGAGGTCAGAAAAATCTTGCGCCTTTTTATATGGGCTCTCGGACATATTTCTGAATTAATATGATTGGCCGCCCCATTACACGATAGCAAAAGTTTAAATAAATATACGTATACATAAAATAGAATTGGAAATTGAGGATGTATTGGTGCACCCTGTATATAACAAAATGTTTTAAAAAAATCATGCAGGTCTATTTATCATCCGTTTAAATGTGTATACACAATTTATACAGGGTGCACCAAGTATCCTTCTATGTGCAATACATCCTTAATTCCCGATGTTATTTTAATGGAAAAACTTTAAAATAAAAAAAGTACTAAAATTAAAGGGAGAATTTTATTTCCGATATATACATTAAATTTTTGCTTGGGGAGTGAAAACAAAATTTTTCTTTAAAACAAATCACCCTAATCATTATATGGGCCTAGATTCTACCCCATAATATGGTATATTATACCAAATTTAAAAATCCTTGGCCAGCTATGATTTTTCATTTATTTTTTCAAGATAGTAGCTTACGTCAAAAAGTTATTTAGAAGTATTGTTTAAAATTAAAATTTTAAAGGATATGAAAAAATTCTTATAAAATATTATGACTTTAACACGCTGTATTTGGGTATGGGTTTTGAGACATTTTTAATTACTATACCCTGGGGCAAATTCTATATTGTTCCATTAATACCCATAGATCGATACATCTGTAAATTTTAAATATTTTTTATGGGTTTCATGAATATTAGATCTTATATTGTTTTGTGTTATTTGCTTTCGTACTTTCGCACATCGCTAAAGTTGTTAAACAAATGTGAGTTTTAAAAAATGTCGGGTTATTTTTTAAATTACAGTTTAAAATGCAGAAAATGCTTATAATGAATAATAAGAGCTAACGTTGTATATTCAGGGTAACCCCTGTTTCTCGCTCATTAAAAAAAATAAAGATCGATGATGTGTCTATCGCTTGTGGATTGTATTCACTTTAATAACGTCAAAGCACCTCGTCAGAAAATACTATTTTCTGTACGTACTCTACGATTGTTTTTTTAATGTCGATTTTTAGAAACGATTTTTTGATGCTCAATTTTTTTACACATTGATTTTTTTTGTTCCCGATTTTTTTAATAATCGACGTTTAAAGTTTTATTTTTTTAGTTTTACTGTTCAACGCTACATAAAATCTACTAAAAAATACAGTTAGGTATCTGTAATATACAAGTTTTTGTAATTTATATTTTTAATTCCAGGAATCTACACTTTTGACTGTTGTTTATGTTTCTTTACAATTAAAATTCAAATAAATTCGTTTCAAAACACAATTATTATGATATATTTATTACCTATGTGTTTACTGTCTAAAAACTGTACAAGGACTAAATATAATATATATAATAATATACTATATTATAGTGTATAGGTGTATAGGTATATAGTATTTGTAGTGTTTTAATATATTACATGAAAAACAGCCCGTTGCAACAGCAATTATATCAAAACATCGATTATTTGAAACATCCATAATTTGGACACGGATTTATTTCTGAATCGATAATGGGCTTTTTTTAATAGATTAAAGGAATCGATCTTTTTGAAAAAAATCAGCATACCTATCTTCTAAAAATGTGGTAGAATAAAATAATACATCATTCAAAGCAAAAAACAGCAAATGTCAAAGATATTTTTGTAAATATGGTCCCTGTGATTTTTAGGTCATTTGTATTGGTTCTTTATATTATATTTGTTTTAATATTATTAATGTGTGAAACTTATAATTTAAATTGTTAAAAATAAGCCTTTTAAAATACGGTTAACATTATAAAATTTAATGTAACAAAGTAAGTTGTTTGGAAACAATATTTTTATCTTATCTGTATTTTTCTTCAAATTAAGTAATATCAATATTTTTATAATTTAATTTAGCTATAACCCATTGTACTATATAGTATCATATGATATGCATAACCATTTAATGAACTTATTACTTACTTACAGACAGCTCTATAGAGCTTCCGGTAAAATGAGGCAAACAAGGCCAAGGTACACAATCTATTTCTTTGATACAAATAGTTGACTTGGCACATTTTAGAAATGTATAAATTTGGTGATAAATTAAAATATTTTGTAAATGGCGAATGCACCGGGGTCAAATGTGAACCTTCTTAAAAAGCATCCCAAGAACATTTTAAGAATACGTTTTTAGAATGTTCTTAGAAGGTTTCTTATGGAGCTTCTAGAAAGCTTTTGAGAATATTCCCAAATATGTCAATACCCACGTTCTAATATGTTGTTTTCTACATTCGTAAAATTCTTCAGGAGACGACTAATACGCCTCACTGTCATAATATGACAGTGAAATGTATTTGTCGTACCCTTAAAAATTTTTGCGACATATTAATATATTTATTTAAAAATATTAAATAAACAATTTGACCTCTAAACCATAAGTTGTATGACATTATTTCATAAAAAGTAAAATTGGAAAATTTTGTGTGATATGTCAGATTAGATTAAAGTTGAAGATAGTTAGAATTATACATAAAAATGTTAATTCAGAAATAAAAAATCGGTATACAAATTAATAAATATTTTTTTTTTCGTAAATCGACAGGTTATTTTAAAAATCTGAAATTTTTTGTTTAAGATCATTGGCGTACCTTTTTTTCTCTAAAAAAAGATATTATCACCCTCGTAGTGACGTCACTGCTTGTAGTATGAAAACGAATTTAATGCCTAACTATGGTTCCTTATAAAAAAACAATACTCACCAAATTTTAATCAAATATATTGTTTTGTTTAGGACTATTTCCCTCGTCTTAATTTCCACCAATCACTAACGCGCAATTTTGAATTTCTAGGTGGAAAAACTGTATAACAAATTTTGTAATATTATTTTTAAACAGTGCTAGTCAGCTTAAGTCGTGAAAATGAGTCGCTTTGGAAGTGGTTCTATGACTAAAATTGATCTGGCGATTGAGAAAAGTGTACCGTACAATACCGTTAAAACCCATACGTCAATATGGAAACAGTTTACGGATTTCTGCAAGGCAAAGAAATACGAGCTTTTAGAAACTACAAGTTTAGAGCAACTAAACCTAATCCTGATTGGGCGTGGAATATTAAGAAAACGGTGAAAATGACAAAAAACTAGTTATGAAGACAATGTGGAACACCGTTGCAAAAAAAATGCAAGAGATGTATTTTATGAAGTGGAAAATAATTTTTGATCCATTTAAAGATATTATCTAGTAGGAAAGCTCGTAATGCGAAACGAAGGAATTTGCAGATGTTCGCCAATAAAAGGAAATCGAGCTCTACTTCATTAAAATTGGAAGAATACTACGCAATGGTTTTATTATGGGACAAAGACACTAGCGAAAATTTTACCATATCGCTTTAGTAGAACTTGCCTGGAGAGGTGGAGAAGCAGTCAATTGCAGAGTTCATTATTTTAAAGAGGAAATGGATAATTCTGGAATTAAAACAGGTAGATAACATAGTTACATATTTTTTCAAATAACTGATTTTCAAAAATCCTACTTTTTAGGAAGAGTAGAATATAATCCTCTCTTCAATACAACGGCCCAGGGTGGAGAAAAAAATGGCCGATAGTAAATGGCTGGTCCCCAACACGAAATTTCTAATGGTT